TCGCCCATCCTTGACAGATCCCTTTGGAGTGCCTCACAATCCTCACTGGTTTTCACCATCTCTAGTTCCTCTGCCTCTTCGAAACCCAGCTTGTACTTCTGGCAGTTCTCTATCCACGTACTGTTGAAGCCTAGCTTGTAGGATCTTGAGCATGACCTTGCTAGCGTGTGATATGAGTGCAATTGTGCGATAGTTTGAACATTCCTTGGCATTGCCCTTCTTTGGGATTGGAATGTATACTGACCTTTTCCAATCCTGTGGCCACTGTTGCGTTTTCCAAATTTGCTGGCAAATTGAGTGCAGCACTTTAACAGCATAATCTTTTAAGACTTTGAATAGCTCAGCTGGGATACCATCACCTCCACTAGCTTTGTTGTTAGTAATGCTTTCTAAGGCCCATTTAACTTCACATTCCAGGATGTCTGGCTCGAGGTCAGTGATTATACCGTCGTGGTTGTCAAGGACATCGAGGTCTTTCTTGTATAGTTCTTCTGTGTAGTCTTGCCATCTTTTCCTAATCTCTTCTGCTTCTGTTAGGTCCGTACCGTTTTTGTCCTTTATCATGGCCAGCTTTGCATGGAACGCTCCCTTGATTTCTCCAGTTTTCTTGAAGAGATCTCTAGTCCTTCCCATTCTATTGTTTTCCTCTATTACTTTGCACTGTTCATTCAGGAAGGCCTCCTTATCTCTCCTTGCTGCTCTCTGGAAATCTGCATTCAGTTGTGTAAATCTTTCCTTTTCGCCTTTGCCTTTCGCTTTCCTTGTTTCCTCTGCTATTTGTAAAGCCTCATCAGACAGCCACTTTGCTTTCTTGCATTTCTTTTTCTTTGGGATGGTGGTGATTGCTGCCTCCTGTACAATGTCACGAACCTCCGTCCATAGTTCTTCAGGTACTCTATCTATCAAATCTAGACCCTTGAATCTATTCTTCACCTCTACTGTATATTCATCAGGGATGCGATCTAGGTCAAATCTGAATGGCCTAGTGGTTTTCCTAATTTTCTTCAGTTTAAGTCTGAATTTTGCAATGAGTAGCTCATGATCTGAGCCATAGTCAGCTCCAGGTCTTGTTTTTACTGACTGGATTGAGCTTCTCCATCTTTGACTGCAAATTATATAGTCAATCTGATTTCGGTGTTGCCCCTCTGGTGATGCCCATGTGTAGAGTCAGCTCTTAGTTTGTTGGAAGAGGATGTTTGCTGTGACCAGCGTGTTCTCTTGACAAAACTCTCTTAGCCTTTGTCCAGCTTCATTTTGTTCTCCAAGGCCAAATTTGCCCTTTACTGTGGTTACCTTTTGACTTCCTACTTTTGCATTCCAGTCCCCTATGATGATAAGGACATCTTCTTTTGGTGTTAGTTCTAGGAGGTGTTGTAGGTCTTCATAGAACCCGTTCACTTCAGCCTCTTCTGCGTCAGTGGTTGGGGCAATTAGTTGGATTACTGTGATGTTGAATGGTTTGCCTTGAATTTGGGACCAAGATCATTCTGTTGTTTTTGAGATTGTATCCTGTTACTGCCTTTCTCTAAATATACATGGTGATTATTAGCAAATGCTGTTGACGGTCTTACATGAAAATCTTCATGCTGTGCTTGAGTAAAACCTTGACTTAAAAAGCATTTTTCTCATTTCAAGTTACTATTTCAGAGGAATTTTTCCAACTTTTCTCTAGAAACATGTGACAGAAGCAGGGAGAATAAAAAAGGAAATTCTGCCCGCCCCACACCCTTTATAGCCCAAGAAAGCTCATACTTCAGTATACCTCTGAAGTCTCCTAAGGTGGCCAATTTTTTTATTTTAAAGGAATAGGGTGTGGTATTCATAATACCTTTTCAGCTAAGATTTGGGTAGAGTTCATCTTCTCAGAACCTTTAATTTGGGTGGGAAAATACCAAGCAGATTAAAGTTCCAGGGGACACTATGCAGAGCAATTTTCACTTGTTGATAATTTACGGTGTTTTGAAATCTTTGCTCCCTCCCCAGACTGCCTGAAGAATGAGTACTGGTTTGGTAGAGACCCAAGTTGTGAATACAGTTTTACAAGGCTGAATGTGGCACATACGGAGCTGTACAAACAGTACAGCAAGAAGCACTTCCGCATCTTCAGAGTAAGTTTGAGTCAGATCAGTTATTTCTTTGTATTGTAAAGAGCAATTTTCAATTCATGTAAATTTTCCTGTGGCCTTTCTTTATCATTTATTTGTTTAAAGCATTTCTATGCTGCCTTTACCCAATTCAGGGTCTCCTAGGTAACAAACATTAAAAAGCACTTCAAACACAAATATATAAAAGAATATTGAACAACTAAGGTATATGCACCTAAAAACCACACAACCAGGAAGGAGGACTAATAATAACACTTAGTGACGGAACCCCAGGCAAAACAAAGAAGTCTTCACCTGTCAAGGAAAGACCATGGAGGGAGGGAGACAGATGAATTTCTCTGGGGAGGGTTTTCAACGTTTTGGTGCCATGACTAAGAAGGCTCCTCCGTGGGGGCTGCCACCGGTCTTGCCTGAAATGATGGGCGGGGGTGCAATAAGATAATTGTTCTTTATCTTGTTAAGAAGCCCGTACCAATTAGTTTGTACAAAAATTATTTTCTTTATTTTACTGGCCTGCAAGCCCTTTAAATGCCTTTGGAGTTTGCTCTCAGCCATGGGTTGAGAAGGCATTTAAAGGGACTATAATCCTTTTAAACACTTTCTCTCCTCCATTGAAATGAATGGAGAATGGGGGCACCTTCTTTGGGGGACCTCCTGTTCCGATATTTTTGAAACTTAGGGAGTTTTTTGAGAAGAGGTACCAGCAGCTATGCTGCAAGTTTGGTACGTCTACTTCAAAAGTCAGCCCGCCCAGAGCCCCAGATACCCCTGGCACAATTCTCCATTATGGGTCCCCCATAGGGTATAATGGAGCCAAAAAAAAATGGGAATCCTGAATATTTACTGAATACCATGCCAGCATTGGGATTTAGGGAATACTGATATTTTCCATGGGTAATATACCTGAATCTGAATAATACTGTGGGTTTTTGTGAGCTTTTTTTGCATACCCCTAATATAGCTAATGCCCGATGAGGGGGCAACTTATTTGTATGGTACAATAATTATAAGTGAGTTCTGTGTTTAACCTTGTGCCAGCAAAGCCAAATATAAATTTCAGAGAGCTAATGATCTATTGAAAAAAGAGACGCAACTCTTTTTAGACAAGATAATAAAAAATACCCATGCTAATTAAATTTACAAGTACTGAAAAGCCACGTGCAAAGAAATCAGATCTCCTAGCATTTCTCAAGCATAATTAAATATATGGGCTTTAAAGCAACAGTTTTCAAATAACTATCTTAGAATGCTTTGGAAGCCCCCCCAAAAAAAGAGTTGCTTCAATAGAAACCTAATCAAGTCTCTGTGTGATGCTTCTTATAGTTAAAGTGACCGCCGCTAGCTTAGACTATTATAGCATTATCATGTGATGGTTCAGTATATAAGTGATTGGTTCTCAGAGCTAAAATATATCTGATAATACTCATTAATTTTCTGCATTGAAATTAAAAAGGGGTAATTGATTGTGCAGTGTTGTGTCTCCTGTATCACCAGACTAGAGAAATACATCATTCTACCATTCTAAATGACATTACATTCTAATATTCATTGCATTACATTACAATCACTATTCTAACCTACTGTTCCAAATAAGAAATACACTAAAATAAAGGGGATGTATAGCCCTTCTTGGTGAGAACACAGATGTAAGCACTGAATGAGTTTAGCATATGTAGTGAGCAATGTTCCCTCCAAGCTATGGAGCCCTGTGAGCAAAAATTCTACTTTGTGAGCTACTGGCATTAAAGTTGTGAGCAGGAGCTTTGGCTGCTGCATAAATTAGTTTGCTCTTCTGGAGTCATCCCTTCCTGAGCTAAGACAAAAATGTGTGAGCCAGAGGCTAAAAAACTGTGAGCTAGCTCACACTAATTCAGCTTAGAGGGAACACTGGTAGTGAGATAAGAAACCAGTATTCCTGTTACGTCCGTGTGTGTGTGTGTGTGTTGTTAATGACTTGTAATTCAGCAGTTTCCCTTTCCAGTCTGTTCCTGAAGTTCCCCTTTCCAATAAAACAGGTACTTTGTGGTCATCCATTGAATGTCCTGGAAGGCTGAAGTGTTCTCCTACAGGATTCTCGGTCATGATTCTTGATGTCAGATTTGTGTCCATTTATCCTTTGGTGTAGGGTTTGACCTGTTTGCCCTATGTAGAGAACTGAAGGGTATTATTGGCACGTAATGGCATACACAATGTTAGAAGATGAGCATGTGAATAAGCCTGAGATGGTGTCGTTGATGTTGTTAGGTCCAGTGATTGTGTGGTCTGGGTGTATGCAGCAGCAAAATTGGCATCTGGGTTTATTGCAAGCTCTGGTACTGGTGTCCATATTTACATCAGATGTTGAATTATTGTGATGAGGAGTTGTTTGGGATTGGGAGGCTGGCTGTGTGCCAGAAAAGGTTTGCCCCCTAGTACTTGTGAAAGAGATTGTCGTTATCCATTAGAGGTTGTAAGTCGCTGATGGGTTGTTTTGAGTTGCGAGCTGTATGTGACCGGTAGTGGTGTTCTGTTATTGTCTTTTTGGGGCAGGTTTTCTCTGGGTACTATCCTAGCTTTGTTAATTTGTTTCTTGACTTCATCAGATGACTACTTTAGTTCCTAAAAGGTTTTTTGTTGTAGATCCCTCAGGTGAGAATCTCTGTCTGTAGGATTGGAGCAGATGCAGCTATAGCATAGAGCCTGGCTGTAAACAATTGATCGTTTGGTATGTTTAGGATGGTAGCTGGAGGCATGTAGGTATGTTTGTCGGTCAGTAGGTTTCCAGGATAAGGTGGACTGGAAAGGGAAATTGCTGAATTACGAGTTATTACAACACTCAGAACACCCCCCCCCCCGATTTAACAGGGATATTGATTTCTTAGCTCACTCCATATGCTAATGCTAAACTCATTCAGTCCTTACGTCTGTCCTGTACCTTTTCTTGACCGACTGGTGAACTTCCTACAAAGTTTATGACAACTGCATAAGAACACACACATTTTGTAGTTGTAGTGTTCCAGGGGCACCTGAAGCGGGGCCTCCAAAGATGACCCAGGTGCACAGTGTTTATCTTGCAACCACACCTCCCAGCCATGCTCCACTGATGAGCAGCTTCCAGCTAGCACAGCCTCTGTTCACTCTCAGGGTTTCTCAGCAGGGGCCCCACTTGTATGGAGCAGCCTGCCGTAAGGGGTCAGGAGCTTGGCCACATTGGTGTCTTTTAGGAGGGCCTGAGAGGCTGTAGGGGGGCTGGCAAGGGGTGCCTTAATATTGCAGTCTCATGAGAGTTTCTCAGTTTAAACTGCGTGCTGATTTGATTGTGCCATGCCTTGGTGCCCCTTTCTGCAGGGAAGGAGAATGTATCAGTGGTCTAATAAAACAGTTACTGGGTTGTGCTTGGCTGTCCACAAGAACCAATACAGTCAGAGGCTGATGCTGCACAGCCTTGAACCCTTATAATCTTTGCCTGTTTAAGAGATGAACTTTGCTGCCAGGGCAACACAATTACACCCAGGACAACACAGTCACTGGACCAAACAACAGCAACAACTACACCTATCTCAGGCTTATTCACATGCTCATCTTCTTGTTCTCTTGAAGGCTCACATAAAGCAACTGCCTGGCTGTATTCAAGTGTGTTGTGTGTGGGGAAAAGTGCTGTGGGGCTGAAGATAGGCTGTGATGTTTGGTGTGTGGCTCAGCTGTGGCTGGCACCTTGCCTTCTGGCACAGTGGTTAATTGTCCTTTCTCCAAGGAGCCTGGACCCAGAAACTCCCACGTGGCTTATATCGAAGACCACAGTGCCAATGGCACATACGTCAATGGCCAGCGCCTTGGGAAGGGGAACAAGTTTCCCTTGACTCACAATGCTGAAATCGCTCTTGCTCTGCATCATAACAAAGGTAAGACGGGTGCCTGCCTGACGTTCAGCCCGCCTTGGGAAGGACTGTGATTCCGTCAACAGTGCTGTAGAGAAGACTGGTTCTGCCAACAGTGATTGAGTTGTAAGCGAGTAACTGCCTTTATAAGTGAGACTCATGCATCGCTTTTCTTGTTTGTCCGAACTTGATGTGTTACTTGGGGTCACGTGAGATCTGTTAACATTGTGAAAAGGAGGGTGCGGGGAGCGGGGCTTCTCCACCAATCTTCATACCTGTTCTGCCACCCAATTGTATGAAAAAGGGTTGAAAACCTGTTCCTGGATAATTTGCTAGTTTGGAGAAAAGTGCTGAGGACAGACACCCATGGAACTGCAGCCACTTTGTTTGTAGACGGACTCTCCGTCACGCTGGAGATGGGCGTGCCTGAGAAGGTCAGAAGGCCTCCTGTGCCGCTGCGCCCCCCCCCCCCCCCGCGCCCCCCCCTTTTGCAGGCTCAGGAGGGGGCTGTCTATAAAGATGGCAGGGTGGTCCAGGAAGGTGCTTCATGAAGAGGAAGGGACTGCGGGCTACACCCCACTGACGACTTGCAGAATGTGGTGTCTGTTGGCTGCGTGGGTTGCACTGTGTGTTGTGGCTGCACTGTTTCCTGCCAGTCTCATATGGCTTGTTTTTCAGCATGACATTTGCACTGTGTCTCGTGTCCAGTATGTTACGCTTATTTGGATTTCTTTAATCCTCATCATACTACATTACTTATTAGACTGCACTGAGTTAGAAAGGAGAGCCACAAACTGAATAAATAAACAGTGATGAACATTTCAGAAACAACTGTTGTGTAAGGTCCTGCTCCACAGGATGTGGCAGAACTTCTTTGACTCTGCCAGTGTCTCTCACTCTCTTTGGGAAACAGTTACAAATGATTGAAAGTAACCATGGTTGATGATTCTTAGGTGCTATTTAAGTGTTCAGATCCAAACTGACTTGTAGATGCTATCTTCCTGAAATTATGTACATTCCCTTCCAACTCACTTTGTAGTAGTGGCTATTGGATGAGTAAACTGGAAGTCAGGATGTTAGTAACAGCAAAGCTGCATTTTTCGTTTGCTTTTCCAGTGTTTGTGTTTTCTGATCCCATGGTGGATGGCCAGTTGGAGTGCCCCAGAGAGCTCAGAGAGAAATACATCATCTCAAAAACTTTGGGAAGGTAAGTTAGAGTAGTATTGTGCAGGATGTAGTTTTTGGAGATTTTTTTCCCTGCTACATTTCCTGCGTGATGCTGCTCTTGGGGATGTAGCATGTAGCAAAGCAATTCCAAAGGTCACCTTGTTCTCTTTCATGGTGGTGGGATTAGCTATACTGGGGCAAACCAGCCCTGTGGGCCGCTTGCAGTGGTACCGCCGGTCTGTTCCCTATAGATGTTCCGCTGGGGGGGGGGAAGGGGAAGCAACATGCACCCCTCTGCCAGTTTGATTCCACGTAGCGAGTGTGGTGGAGTCTCTAGGAGCCCCAGGAAACACCCACCGATCAGGCAGGGGCACCTGATGGTGTCCCTCTGAGCGGGATGTGCTCCTGTTCACCTGCCCAGGGTGCAGTGCTCTGCCCCCCTCAGGGTCTCCTGGTTGCTCCTTCCGTGTGTGTCTGTGGAGATGGGGTACCTGTAGGCCATGAGGCAGTGGGCTACGGTGATGCTGAGATTATGTCCGGGTTCAGCTAGGAGCAAGCAACGCAGACCCGGAGGCTCGTGCGATCTCTCCCTCACCTCTTCCTGTGTAGCTAAGTTGTTGAAGATTTCTGCATTCCCAAGTAACTGTTATTTCTCCTTCCTCCTGTGACACTTCTGCCCCAGCACCCTGCAGGCCACTCTGGCTCCTTGCTCAGGCAAAGATCCCTCGAGGAAGTAAGCGAGGCCCAGACTTGCTCAGAAGCTAGGGGGGAAGTCCTTCTGGTGAGGGAGCCCTCTTGTCCAAGCACAAACCCCTCACTGCTCTCCGATCCCCTCTTAGGTGGTTCTTGGTACCTTTCCCTTTGGAAGGCCGCCACCACCTCCTGCCCCCTCACCAGTTTGGTGCCATATGATAAGGAACATCCAAACCAGGGCTGCTTTAGTAACATTAGCCACAGTGAGGTGCATAGGTAGGAATCAAGGCAGTCACCTTTTCTTGAAACAATACAAGCTTTATTTGGCTGGCAAAACTCTAGATAAAAAACAGGCTGCACCACTAATTTACAGGCTTATAGAAGAACTGAAGCAGAGAAAGACTGGTACCCGAACTTGGAACTTACATAGGCTGAGCATCTGATCCCCTCTCCCCTCTGGAAGGTTCAGATGGGGGGGGGGGGTATGTGTAATGAGGATGCAGTCCTTCAGCCCTCCCTACGCGTGAAAGGGTCTTAGCTAGTCTGGGTCTTGGGTTCTAGTGGCAACAGCCTGCCAGCACCTACTCAGGCCAATAGTGAGGTGCCAGCATATCAAAAAGATCCAGTGTTTTCACTCCTGGCTGTGAAAACCATGCCTCTCTTGGCAGCTTGATGGGTCCCAGCCCCAGTGTCCCTACAAACACTGATAAATCTCTTTAAATGTTATCTGCTTCTGCTGTCATCCATGACACCCCCGAACTGGATGCGGTGTCAAATAATGTTTGATTAGGAATACAGGAATCTTCAGTATCAGAGTCACGTCTGAAGAAGCAGAAGGGGGATGTTGGACATCTGACTTCCAGGGCCTCTTCCTGTGTGTTAGATCTGAATGTAGCTACCCATCTGCCTTTCCCAGCCCTGCATGGTGGGCATGGGAGCAGCCAGGTAGCATTCTTTGGTCAGTTCAGGCACCCCAGTAACGTAGAACTTAGTATGTGTTTCCTGCCAGAGATTTACCATCTAAACGCCCTTATTTTTTTCTGCTAGTGGTGCCTGTGGAGAGGTGAAGCTGGCATTTGAAAAGACCACGTGTCGCAAAGTTGCTATAAAAATAATAAACAAGTCGAGGTTTATGACAGATACTTTGCCAGAGAATGTAAGTATATACATACATATATATCATATATATATATCATATATATCATATATATATCATATATATCATATATATATCATATATATCATATATCACACACACACACACACACACACTGTAAGCACAGGCTAATGCTCCTCCATTACCTTGCTGAGTGGAGGGGAGTTGGCTGTGGCAGAAGTCAGCTCTGCTCACCCCCCACCATTGGGGGGAGGAAGAGGGAGGAGCAGAAGTGTTGTGGTGAAGAAGCTTAGAAAAGTGGAGGAAGACGACATTATTAATGCAAAAAAAAAATACAACACAAGAAAGTCATTGAACTGAGGTGTATAACAAGCATTCATAATAACCGGGACATAAGAACATAAGAGATGCCAATGTTGGATCAGGCCAAAGGCCCATCCAGTCCAACACTCTGTGTCACACAGTGGCCAGAAATACCAGGTGCCCTCAGGAGGTCCAGCAGTGGGGCCAGGACACCAGGAGCCCTCCCACTGTTGACCCCCCCCCCAGCACCAAGAAGACAGAGCATCCCTTGCCCCAGAGCCCCTATCTATACCTTGTGGCTATTGCCCACTGATGGACCTCTGCTCCATATGCTTCTCTAATTCCCTCTTGAAGCCTTCCATGCTTGTAGCCGCCACCACTTCCTGTGGCAGTGAATTCCAAGTGTTAATCACTCTTTGGGTGAAGATGTACTTCCATCCGTTCTAACGCGACCTAGTCCGAGGTATAAAACAGCCGGAAGGAGCAAGCGAAAGAAGGGTGGTCTAAAGAACTACAGTTCTCATAATGACTCCATGAGTGTTACATCCATTGCTGCAGGTGAGACCCTGCAGGTGGGATGAATTGTTGGCGAGATAAAAATGCAAGTCGTGGGGACCGTTTTTCGTCAGAATGGCTCCCAGCTTGACTGCCTTCCCCGCCCCCTCTCTCAGGGTCCCCTCCGTCCTCCAGCCACCACAGCTGGAAACAATTTAAGGAAGTCATCTCTGTTTCTCTCCTACGACTGGATTAGCGGCAATGATAAAACACTATGACCAAGAATTATCCTTCATGAAACCTGTATGCGGCCCTGTCAAAAATGAAAGAGGACACTGAAACAAAAGCCGCTCGGAAAAGAGGACACCCCCCCCCAACAAACCACACAGGGTTGCCAACTCCGGACTGAGGAATCCCTGGAGTCGGGGGTGGGGTGGAGTCGGGGGGGGGGGGACCTCAGTAGGGAAACAGTACCCTAGAGCCCCCCCTCCAAAGCAGCCGTTTGGTCTGGGGGGGACAGATCTCTGTCGCCTGCAGGTCAGCTGTGGTTCTGGGAGATGTTCGCTTGTGCTGAATACTTAGTAGTTAAGGGGCAGCTGAGCAGAAAGTCAGGGTATAGCTATTTTAATAAATGCATCTCAATCCTAAATACATTGTATGAAAATATTTTCTCTGTAAAATGCTGGACTTTCCTGTATGCTTATGTTTGTGGCGTTGGCAGGACTTTGTGGGAGTGGTTGTCTTTTAAAGTGAAAACTGTGCCTCTGAAGAAGCTGAATGCAATTTGAAAGCTTGATTCCTGCGCTGCTGGAGGGCTCAGTTCACAGTCTTTCAAGGCCCAGAACCAGCACAGGCTTCCAGCAAACTGCCTCCTTTGAATTCCCCAGGCTAGCTACTGAATCCCTGGTTGTAAACCTCAGGAATGAATTGGATTGGGGGGGGGGCGCAGAGTATCAGTCCCTTAATTTGAGGGAAGGGGGTTCCCTTGAGCAGTCTGTAGCTCCCAGGCTCCGTTTCCGAGTGCCTTAGTCTCTGTCTCCCACTTTGGGTCCAGCTGGTCTTGGAGAGGGCAGGGTATAAATGTTCCATCTACTAAGGTACTCAGATTTGAAGATCTCCTCTCTGTGAATGTGTGTCCTTGTTTTGGTTGGTATAGGCAGTTGCAAATATTTGAATCTTCTTGCTTTGAAATGGACATCGGAGCAGGTTGCCTCCTGCTCTGACTCCATGGGGGAGGGGGGGTGTCGAAGTCTTCATGTGGTGCAGGTGTGAGCTTCATATTGCTGTTTTAACTTACGCTGCACCTCAGACGAAGTGGAGAGGCTTATGCAAATGCCATGGAAGTGACGTGATGTTCCACTGTTTAAAAGCAGGAACGGCCTTTTAACGTGTCAACAGAAGTGGAGATTTTGAAGAAAGTTGATCATGTGAGTGTGTCTGTAAAAATGTGTCTACCTTGTTACTTGAAGTTTGCTCATCTTCCTCTTCCTCCTTGTTGTCAGTAAAGTCTCGGTTACGGTTCTGAGAAATACTGTTTTGATTTTTTCTGTATATTTCTGAGCCCGCTCGTGGGGAGGGCGGGGTAAAAATGTTAACAATAAATAAATAAAAATAAGCACATATATAATTGAAGGGGGACATCAGGATTACAGGGCGTCTGTCCCTTGCTCTTGCATTCCTGATCTTTTCATTCACACTGAGGTTAAGAACACCAGAAGAGCCCCCCTGCTGGGTCAGACCCACGGGGGTCCGTTTAGTCCAGCACCCTGTTTCACACAGTGGCCAGTCAGCTGCCACAGAGGGCCAAACAAACAGGACAGGGAGGCCACGGCTTTCCCGTATGCCCTATCGACCCACATAAGGGCATTACAATATTGTCTATTTCATTTTCAGCCCCTTTCCTAATAATTTCTAGCCTGGAGTTTGACTTTTTGTTTGTTTGTTTGTTTTGCATTTATATCCCGCCCATCCCGTGGGCAGGCTCAGGGTGGGTAACGTCTCTGCAATAAATACAATTTCAGTTTAAAACATTAAAACACAATAAAACATTATAACAATTAAAACAATCGGTACAGCTTGGAAGAGCATCAGTCGGCTATAAAATTCTGGCCCGGTGGTACAACGAGTTAAAGGCCAGTTGTCGGTGGTCAGGAGACAGGTGACGGACGGGCGACAGCAACCTCGGGGGGGGGGCGGCATAGATGGGTGCCGGCTGCCTCAGCCAAAGGGCCTGGGGGAACACTGCTGCCACCCATTTGGCTGGCATTTTTGTCAGGCTTTCCACTACAACTCCAAGATCTCCAACAGGCTCAGCCAGTTCAGACCACATCAGAATATATTTAAGATTAGGAATTTTTTTATTGCAGTAGGCATCACTTTAAATTTCACTCACTTTGAACTTCATTTGCCACTCGTCTGGTGTCCTCCTGTAGTTCTTTATAGTTCACACTCATGAAAAAAGGAGAAGAGAAACTAAACCAACCAAGCAAGAGCCAAAACCTCCAAAGGAAGTTTAGAAAACTAGTAAGGGGCTAAAAATTAAAAACATCAGTAATTATAGACAAAAGTACACGTGTTTATTTCAAAAACAGTTAAAAACCTTTTAGGGGGCCAAGTAAAGGCTCATAATGCAATCAAAGTGACAAATGCACAGAAGGAACCATATATGCCCTGAGGTGCGTCGGCCCAAAAGAGTCTTCTTCAGAGGTCAAATTGTACAGAATGCAACATCCCTCAAAGCTTACACTTGTCAGGCAGTATACAATTTATATAGGACCCAAATTGAATGACACAAAAAGATCTGTGAGGCCAGATACAATTGTGTCAGCGGCAGTTTACATGTACTGGAGTAAGTAATGTTACCTACAGAAGCCATGCTGATTTTCCCTGAGCATGCGTTGCTCCGCAGTGTGCTTAGTTATTCTCTTTTTAATAGGAGTTCCTTCTAATTTACCTGAAAAGATGTTAGGCTAGTTGGCCTGTAAATCCATAGATCCACTCTGGAGCCCTTTTTTAAAAAATTGGGGTGACATTTGCTACTTTTCAGTCTTCTTATTTATTAAATTTGATAGTCATCTGGCATGGAGGCCGAGTTTACCAACAAGTTACATATTGTTAGCAGATCAACAGTTTCACATCTGAGTATGTATCCCTTCTGGACCTGCAGACTTGTTAGTTTTCAATTTGGTTAGTGATTCTAGAACTTCATCTTTCGTCACCTCAGTCTGACTCAGTTCTTCAGACGTCTGTTCCCCAAACAGCAGCTCCAGTGTCAGTATGCACCCCCCACCCCACCCAGGGCCGGCTCGCTCACTAGTCGAACTAGGCATTCGCCTAGAGCGGGCTGGCCCTTAGGGGCGCCAAACTGCACCCGCCCCCCCAAAAGCCCTGCATGCATCTGGTCCCTGACCGGGGGACCGCCACCTCTTTCACCCCGAGTCTGGCACCCAGTGCGCCCAGAAGCGGGTGGGGAAGGAAGCGAGGAGGGAGGGGGAAGCGCCCCCCCCCCTGCTGTGCTCAGGGCCTGTCCTGAGGCGCAGGTGGCCTGCAGGGCAGGGAGGAGGTGGATGGCGCCGCCTGAAGGGCCCATGGGCAGGGTGGCCCAGGTAGGCATGCGTGGTGCATAGAGGGGGCTGGAGCAGACCCGCCGCCACTTCCTCCTCCGAGACAGGCCTGCTCAGACCAGATGACTCCTTCACGCTGCCCTTGGTGAGTCTCCTTGGCGAGGGGACGGGGTGCACGCAGCTGGGATGGTCTCGGTCCCCCTGGGGGGGAAGCGGGCAGGGGGGGAGAAAAGGCAGAAGGGCCGCCCTCCGAAGAGCCTTGTAGCCCCCTCTCCTCCCCCCCACCCAATGCACCCAGCTTACCACCCGGCTTGAGCGCCGGAGAGGCACACAGCGGCTGGGAAGGAGACACAAGGTGAGGGGGCGTTAGTTTTGCCTAGGGTGCCAAAAAATCTCGGGCCGGCCCTGACCCCACCCCCCATCTTCCACAGATTTCTGCAGTGTTCTCTGAAGAGGAGCTACAAAAAAAAAATGCATTTGCTGCCTGATATTTGTAGTGGCTTCAAACACACACACACACCCCCGGGGCCCCCGTTGTTTAATTTTTCCTCTGACTTCCCCTGAGGGTGGCCTGAACCTCTTCCTGTCTTCCTCACTTGCTGCAGCCCTGCCTGATGAAGATTGTTGACTTCTTTGAAGGAGAAGATTTCTACATTGTGTTGGAACTGTAAGTAGCCTGTTTGAATTTGTGTTTCTGTGTGTGTGCTTTTTTCTTCTGAGCCCAGCAATTTAAATGGAAATGAAGGGGGAATTTTTTTAGGGATTACTGACCCCCTCCTCCTGCAGTTAAAACCCCCCATCCACATGGAGGAGCGGCCTGAGCCAGACCCCCCCCCCCTGGGCCTCACAAAGGGGAGTCTTGTCTCCTTCGCCTGGCAGGTGTTCTCACAGGTCTGAAATAGGGGGGCTTTTCCCATAAGAGCATAAGAGATGTCAATGTTGGATCAGGCCAAAGGCCCATCCAGTCCTACACTCTGTGTCACACAGTGGCCAGAAATACCAGTGCCATCAGGAGGTCCACCAGTGGGGCCAGGACATTAGAAACCCTCCCACTGTTGACCCCCCCCCCCAAGCACCAAGATGACAGAGCATCACTTGCCCCAGAGTCCCTATCTATACCTTGTGGCTAATAGCCACTGATGGACCTCTGCTCCATATGCTTATCTAATTCCCTTTTGAAGCCGTCCATGCTTGTAGCACCCACCACTTCCTGTGGCAGTGAATTCCATGTGTTAATCACTCTTTGGGTGAAGAAGTACTTCCTTTTATCCGTTCTAACCCGACCGCTCAGCAATTTCATGGAGTGCCCACGGGTTCTTGTATTGTGAGAAAGGGAGAAAAGTACCTCTTTCTCTACCTGCTCTTTCCCATGCATAATCTTATAAACCTCAATCATGTCACCCCTCAGTCGTCGTTTCTCCAAGCTAAAGAGCCCTAAGCGCCTTAACCTTTCCTCATAGGGAAAGTGTTCCAACCCTTTTATCATTCGAGTTGCCCTTTTCTGCACTTTTTCCAAAGCTATAATATCCTTTTTAAGGTGTGGTGCCCAGAACTGCACACAGTATTCCAAATGAGGTCTCACCATTGATTTATATAGGGGCATTATTATATTGGCTGATCTGTTTTCAATACCCTTCCTAATAATCCCCAGCATAGCATTGGCCTTCTTTATTGCAGTCACACACTGTCTCGACATTTTCAGTGAGTTATCTACTACAACTCCAAGATCTCTCTCTTGATCTGTCTCTGCCAGTTCAGACCCCATCAATGTGTATTTATATTTAGGATTTTTGGCTCCAATGTGCATCACCTTGCACTTGGCCACATTGAACCCCATTTGCCATGTTGACGCCCACTCGCCCATCCTTGACAGATCCCCTTGGAGTGCTTCACAATCCTCACTGGTTTTCACCACCCTGAACAACTTTGTATCATCCGCAAATTTAGCCACTTCACTGCTTACTCCCATCTCCAAATCATTAATGAACAAGTTAAAAAGCAGTGGACCAAGTACTGATCCCTGCGGTACCCCACTGCTTAACTCCCTCCACTGAGAAAATTGCCCTATTTATACTCACTCTCTGTTTTCTATTAATTAGCCAGTTTTTGATCCATAAAAGGACTTGTCCTTTTATCCCATGATTTTTGAGTTTACTTAGGAGCCTTTGATGAGGAACTTTATCAAAAGCTTTCTGGAAGTCAAGGTAAACAATATCTATTGGATCCCCCTTGTCCACATGTTTGTTCATCCCCTCAAAGAACATTAACAGGTTTGTGAGACAAGATCTTCCCTTACAGAACCCATGCTGAGTCTGCCTCAATAGGTTTTGTTCATCAACGTGCCTACTAATTCTTTCCTTAATAATGGTTTCCACCAATTTACCCGGTATCGACGTCAGACTGACTGGCCTGTAATTTCTCGGATCTCCTCTGGAACCCTTTTTAAAGATGGGAGTGACATTTGCTACCTTCCAGTCCTCAGGAATGGAGGCTGATTTTAAGGAAATATTACATATTTTTGTCAGGAGATCCACAAGTTCACATTTGAGTTCTTTCAGAACTCTCGGATGTATGCCATCTGGGCCTGGTGATTTATCAGTTTTTGAGTTGTCTATCAGTTTTAGGACCTCCTCTCTCGTCACCTCAATCTGACTCAGGTTATTCAACACCCCTCCCGAAATCAGCGGTTCTGGAGTGGGCAAGCACTTCTCATCTTCCACAGTGAAGACTACTACACTACCTGATCCTTTTAACTAGAGATATCAGGGATTTAACTTGGGATCTTTTGCACACAAAGCAGATTCTGTACCAGTGAGTTGTGGCCACACACCCTAGGTTATTGGGGAGTCCATTTAAAGAAAGGGAATTGACAAATAATCTGGAGTGCGTTTTGCAAAAGGTGGATCTGGAGTAGGAAGTGCTGCTGGATTGGTCCCTGCTGGAGACAGCCTTGATTCAGCTGTAATAATTCAGTCATGGACAAACTGAAAGGGTCATGTTGACGGTAAAAGCTCCTGCTGTTGTGAAGCATTTACTCTACACATTGTGGGCAAAGCATCCCTGTTCAGAGGGGTATTTGATCTGACATCCAAGGCTAGTTCTAGATCTTTATGTGCTGCCTAAGGATAAAATAGATGAGACGTGAGCAAGGCGTTCTTTCAAGTCCCCCCATTCCTATTGCTGTTTACCTACTCAAATGTGTTTTATTATTTATTCATAAATAGTGATATCTCACTTCTAAGGTCTGGTTTATAACTGGGTTGCAGAAGTTTTTAAAATACATTTAAAATGATAGAATGCATTGAAAACTGTGACCAACCAAGGGAAATTTTCACCTGAATGCCATCAACAAATGAAAAGATGAAAATACATGGGGGGGGGGGGTTTTCCAAAGATGAGGGGCTGCCTTAGGACAGGCCTTGTCCCTGGTAGTCATCCACCTCCCCTCTGAATGGAGGGGGGGGCACTCATAGCCAGGCCTCTGGGAAAGGTCCTGTCGGTTAATATGGCCGCAGACAGTCCCAGACTGCCCAAGGCTTACCTAGGTTGAGTCAGTTCTCTGAGTTGCTCCTGAATACAAGCAGCTAAGAAATGGGTCTTCTGCACTTGCCTTTCAGGATGGAAGGAGGGGAGCTATTCGACAGGGTTCTGCCCCCAGCAAGACTGAGCGAAGCAACCTGCAAGTTTTATTTCTATCAAATGCTGTTGGCTGTGCAGGTAATTCTCAGTGCCACAAAACAAACTGGGGTGGGTGGGTGGCTGTTCCTCAAGGCTGTGGCCTGGCCTCGACTGCTGTGCTTCCTGTTAAGGTTGCCGGCCAAGTGCTGATGGGTACCAAGTGAACCTGCTTTATGCCATTGTGCTACTTCAAGGCAATGGCTTTTGTTGTTCCTTCCAGTGAACCTGGTGGTGAACAAGGGTGTTTACACAGAGTTGTTCATACCTTTACTGCTTCAGAGAGCCAGTTTGGTGTAGTGGTTAAGTGTGCGGACTCTAATCTGGGAGAACCGGGTTTGATTCCCCACTCCTCCTCCACTTGCACCTGGCTGGATGACCTTGGGCAAGCCGTAGCTCTGATAAGAGCTGTTCTTGAAAAAGAGCAGTTACTGTCAGAGCTCTCTCAGCCCCACCTACCTCACAGGGTGTCTGTTGTGGGGAGGGGAAGGGAAAGGAGTTTGTAAGCCGCTCTGAGACACCTTTAGGTAGTGAAGGGCGGTGTATAAATCCAATCTCCTCCTCCTCCTTCTCCTCCTCCTCCTCCTCCTCCTCCTCCTTCTTCTAGATACAGTGTACCCCAAAAAAAATCGACCCTGTGGGCCATGGTTTCTTTAAAGCAAATGCTGGTCTCCAGTACCTGTAGAATACAGAGAAGGATATTAAACTCCTGCTGCCACCTGAGGCTCTAATTCAGGCTGAAAGGGTGTACGGCAGCCCAGTTTTTGTTTAGTTGGTAGGAGAAGCCTTTTTCTCTTCCCTCCTCATCCATGTTACTTGTGTTCCAGAGGTGACACAAGTGGAGGTCTTGCACTGGAAGATCGCTCTGGGAAGTTTTGTCATTGCCATAAGGGGGGAAATGTTGGAGTGGGGGGGTGATGATTTTTTGCAATATGAGTTTCCAATGTGGAGCCATCGGAACACTTTTTGGTTCTATGTAGCACATGTCCATGTGCAAAATATGTATGGAATTGACAAATCTTTCAGTCTTCAGGATTTTTTAATATTAATTATCATGTTTTCTAATTATTTCTACCGCAAAACTTAATCCTAACCTCTTCAAAGTTCCTTGCAATTTTATTAAAGCTATAACAAAAGTGTGTAGGATATAAAGAAATACAGGGGTAGCCCTGGTTGTCATTACCACAACACAAACCTAACCTCTAACCCGAGCCCAGGTTCTCCACAGTCTATTATTACTTTAAAAAGCTTAATTTAATTAAATATTTGAGCCAGTATAGAAAGCAACTGGTTAGGAAATAAATTCATCCACCCCCCATTGAATGACATAAAGTTAAGTTTATATGTAAACAAGCAATGATAAGAACTTCATGCACACTTAGACAACAGAATGTTCTGATACGAATTTGGGGTTGGATCCAGTCAATTTTTTCATTCACTTTCTGGTAATTCCCCTCCTTCCTACAGGCCCCATTCTCTATGGCTTTTGTCCATGCAGATCTTATGAGCTTGAACATAGCTTTTTCAGTGGAGGGGGGGCGGTGGGAGACACTCCTTCCCTTTTTTGGTAGTGGGAAAACTGGTGAGTCCAACCCTTAGTACGTCAGTTGAGAATGGACTGGAGGCACTACAATATGATCATTGCTGAAAATAGTAGGTGCCCCAGTGACTTCCGTAGGCGTCCTGGTGCCTGGGATCTGCCAAGCCCAGGGAGGCCGATGGATGTGTGGACCAGTGTTCCCTCTAAGCTGAGTTAGAGTGAGCTAGCTCACAGTTTTTTAGCCTCTGGCTCACACATTTCTGTTTTTGCTCAGGAAGGAGGGCTCCAGAGCAAACTAATTTATGTAGTAGCTAAATCGCTCGCTCACAACTTTAATGCCAGTAGTTCTCAAAGTAGAATTTTTGCTCACAAGACTCCACAGCTTAGAGGGAGCATTGGTGTGGACGTATCTGTAGACATGCAGCATCCTTCCAGATCGGGTCTTTTATATTCTGCTTGCAGTTTAGAGCTGTTATAATGGATTGTTTTAATGTCTTCTTAGGGGAGTAATTAAAATATGTCATAAGTATGAATACTAGGGTAGTCAATAAAACCTGCCGGACAATTAGCTAAGTTGTTAGCCGAATTGCTTTATTTACAGCAATTGGCAATTTATAAATGGGTTCTTGCCAGTTTATACCAAGGTCCTGTTCCCACAAGGGTTACCAGAGAAGGATAACGAGGCTGTTGTTGTTAAAATAAATCTCTTTTACTTAAAAAATAAATCTCATACAAACAATACTGATGCACTCACACATTCAATCAAGTTCCTTAGAATTACAGTATTAAAATAAGCACGCTTGCATTAGAAGGTGGGGGTGATGATGGGCAATACTTATCTGTCTCGCAGCTTGGTTGTTCCAATGAAAAATGGATGGGGAGAAATGTAAACTAAAGGGAGTTCGTACACGACCAGAACCAGCCCCAGTGTGGGTCTCTTGACTGCAGATCAAGAGATCAAAGTAGAGGCAAGGGTTTGGGGATAGCAAGTGGGACTTAAGAGAAGCAAAAAGCAGACAGGGGTTGTTGCGGGGGATGCTAGCTAGGAAGGGCCAGGTGAATGGTCCTTACCTTTTATAGTGGGTCCATTAGATGGGTGGTAACTGTTCCAACTTGTGGACCCACCTACCTGTTAGTCCGTCCCAAAAACAATCCTATTGGTTACCTATAGGAGTGGGAGGTTACCTATAAGGAGTGGCCAATATTGAAACCTAAAACCTTACTCAAAGGATGGCATCTGGCCAGGTGTGAAAACCTTGGCGATGCTCCATTGTCGTGTTGATGAAGCTGACCATTCCCATTGTGAGCCAAATGTCCATCTGGCAGGAAATACCAAAGCAGGAACAAAGCAGTGATGGGTCGTACGGGACCACAAATGATTCAGCAATGGGGGCTGTCTCCTCTCAAGCTGTTGTTTCTTACTGCTCACAATAATGGAGGTGTGTGCTTCTTCACCAGGCTGGTAACTGTGTAGCTGAAACCTTATTTACACGTAAGGCTTGTGCAGGCACCTTCTATGTGTTGCATCACAACAGGTGACTTAAAGTGTACAGTTCTCTGAGCCTGTGTGTGTGTGTGTGTGCACAGTCCATTGTGTGTAGCAATAAATATAGTCCATAAAGCAAAATATCAAGTTCATTCTCTAACAAAGTGATGCAAGATGATATAAATGCTTGTTTTAAAGAATGTTTGATTGTCTGTGCAAAGGTCTGCGATCCACAGGCCTATACCAGTCTGATAACTGCACAACTATTTTTCTGTCTTTGACACTCTGCCAAGTACCTTCATGAACATGGCATTATTCATCGGGATTTGAAGCTGGAGAACGTGCTCTTATCATCCCCTGAGGAAAACTGCCTTATAAAGGTGTGCAGGAGAACCCCCCACCCCACCCTACCCTGTTTGTTTTGCTTCAAAGGCAGCTGCTTTGAGTGAGTTTTGAATATACACATTGGCTGCTTTCCAAGGGATGCTATTATTTTAACAAGTAATTAAATACTTAAGGTAGAGAGTTTTTTCCATACAAAACTTTGAGATCGTTCTGGATCTTACTTATATGGGAAATGTATACAGTGCCTTTCCAGAGACCTGCTTGAGGTGGCTCACAAAATAAAAACAATAAAATAAAATCATGAAAACCATAACATTAGAAATTATGAGCAATGAAATCAGCTATAAATCACATTTATTTATATCTAGCTTCCTCCTGATCAGTGGGATTCCAAGCAGCTTCTAAAAATACTTCTAAAAACAAAACAGTCTTCATGCAGGAGCCCTCCTCAGGTTGTCAGGCCAGCCACCTGGTGTCTGCAGGTGGGCACAGAACAGCAAAGCTTGGGAAGAGGGCCTGGCCCGGCCTGCCAGCGTAAGTTTTGGGGCTGGAGGGAGCCGTCTGTTTCACTTGGAGACGTGTGTGTTCTGGAATCCGCCTCCTGTCCACCCTGGTCATGTAGATTTCATTGGATTTGCAGTGTAGATTAAGCGTTACTTTTTATCGCAAAACTGCTGTATCGGGTTTCTGCATAGTAACACGGGAGTGAAAGAGGTGGTCCTTCTGCAGGCAAATGTCCATAGTGTGATGCAGCAACTTTTGACTGTTTCATCTGTTCTTCTCAACTTCCTTCATGCAAGATTACAGATTTTGGACAGTCCAAGATTCTCGGGGAAACATCTCTCATGCAGACCTTGTGTGGTACCCCCAATTACCTTGCTCCTGAAGTCCTCAGTTCTGCTGGGACAGCTGGCTACGGGCGGTCTGTAGATTGCTGGAGTTTAGGAGTCATCCTCTTCATGTGGTAAGAGCTTTGTTTCTGATGGCTCCTCCTGTACTTCTTCTCAGGCCTTTGGGTGAGTGAACAAGTGTGCCCAAATGTTCACCTAGAAAGAAATATATATTTTCTCTTTTGTGCTTGTGCCCTGGCCTTCCACTAGGGATCTAAGGCTACAATCCCATGCAGAGTTGGAAACTCTGTGGGACATAAACTAAAATATTTTATCTCTCTCTTAATCAGTGATTCCCCAGGTGACTTACTTCTGAAGACAGCAAGTCTCTCAAAATTAAATTTAAAAAATGCAAAGTATTCCTCAACAGTAAACAGCAATAGAAATATGCTAATTGGATAAGTGCATGCAGCATATAAATGATTCAGAGGCTAGTTAAGAGTAGCAATACATAAAAGCCAATTATTATATTAGTCAAATTATATCAGCGCTGATATTAAATTGTTAAGAGCAGGTAAAACAAAGCCTTAAAAAAAGTAAGAGAGAAAAGGGATTTTGTTTCCTGGCAATGAAAACGTAAGTGGTCTTGGGCAAATGTCAGACTCCTGCAGCAATCAGTTCCCAATAGCAAGTATACCTGGACCGGATATTCCATAGTTAAAGCACCACAACAGAGAATCCTGATGACCATCTACTTAATCTCCGACGGCACAGGGCTTCTGATGACACCTGCAGGTGATGGGCAGGGGGAAGGCCGTCCTGCAGAAACTCCTGTGGCAGACTCTGCTTTTGGTCCTTAATGACAGGAACCAACACTTTGAGTTGTCCCAGAAGCAAATCAGTAGCCAGTGTAATTCTCCTAAAGCTGGCTAGGTATGTCCCTCATCACTTGCTTGGCTGTCTCATGGCCACGTTTTCTGCCAGTTGTAGCTTCTGAATCCTTTTGAAAGGCAGCCCCACTGGCACCATACTGTAGTAAGCTAGCCTATATACAGCCTGTGCTCTACCAGCTGCACTGGTTACAGATTGAGTACCAAACAGAGTCAAGGTTTTGGCACTCCCCTTCAAAGCCCTAAACGGTCTGGGACCGTCATATCTATGGGACCGCCTCTCCCTATAGACCCCCTCAGAGAGCCTTACGCTCATCTAGTAACAACTTACTGGTGATCCCTGGCCCCAGAATGTCCTCAGCCAGGACCCAGGGCCTTTTCAGCTCTGGCCCCAACCTGGCAGGACTCTGTCTAGTGACACCCAAGCCCTGCGGGGTTTGGTTCAATTCCGCAAGGCCTGTAAGAGGGAGATGTTCCACCAGGCGTACGGCTGAGGACAGTGGCGGCTGGGTTGATCGTTTGACCTCCTCCTCTTCCTGTTGGGCTGAGGATTTCCCTGCACTGGCCGCCCCCTTAGTTATCTACCTTGAAGGGTTGTCAGGGCGCCATCTGTTATGATAGATTGATTGCTAATGTTTTAACTGTAAGGCTGGTTTTAAATTGTGATGGACTTAGCATATAGTTTATTGTGTATTTTTAATTGTATATTTATTGTTCATCTAATTGTTGGAAGCCGCCCTGAGCCCTGCTTGGCAAGGAAAGGAGCGGGACAAAAGTCTAATAAATAAAACTGTTTCAGTTGAGCAGAGGGTTGGTTCAGCAGCAGCAGCACAGGCCTTTCAGCATTTGCAGTTCAAGGAAATGAGATGCCATTAAAAGTCTGCTTCAGAGGGTAGCCGGGTTGGTCTGCAGTAGGGCAGTTCAACTCGACTCCAGTAGTGCCTTGAGGACCAGCAAGTAGAAGCTTTTGAGAATGAAAGTTCCCTTCATCAGGGATGAGTAGGAATGGAGCTCCGAGTGTTTTTAAACCTGTGAGAAGGTGGGAGCGGTGCTGTAAACAGTTCTTGTGAAGGACGCAAAGCCACAATGCATCCTGTTACCAGCTTCATTAGAGCAGAGAGGAAAAGCTTGGAGGCAGGAAATTGGCATCTGTAGTGAGATAAGAATCCTCTGTTCCTATTCGGGGAGGGGTGTTCCATTGTTCTGAACTTGTGAATGGACTCAATCTTGGGTTGTAATTTCCCATTGAAGTTTTAATTTTATTTATTTATTTTAGTGATTTTTATCCTGCCCATCCGGCCTAGGCTGGCTCAAGGCAGCTCACAACAGAATAAAAGCTCTCATAGTACATAAAACACAATTCATTACACTAATACAGTTCCTAATAAATAATACAGCAATATAAAAACAGTATTGAAATCAAACATAGTGTTAAAGTGCTAGCAAATTCCATTTTTTTCTTTAATTCTATTGGTCGGCTTCAGTTAGGGTAAACTAGGACAGGCGGTAGTCACAGGGACCAACGACTCAGGGCTTCCACTCTGGTTGTCAGTTGTTATTGATTAGTAGTGGTGGTGGTGGTGGCAGCTACGAAGGCCTGGTGGAAGAGCTCTGTTTTGCAGGCCCTGCAGAACTGCACGAGGTCCCGCAGGGCCCCGGTCTCCTCTGGGAGCTCATTCTGGGGTTTTTTTGTTTCTGGTTTTTTGTTTTGTTTTGTTTTTTGGGTTTTGTTTTGTTTTTTTGGTCTGGTTTCTTGCTGAGGGAGGAGGGCCTCTTTGCTGGGGGTTGGTTGCTGGCCCCGCCCTCTACTGTTGCTGTGGCTGTTGGGAGGTGGGGCCTGTGAGCCTTTGAATTGCAAAGCTCCTCCTCGCCAGAGGCGCAACCCTTTGGTGCGATCTGAAGGGTGAGAGCTAAAGGGCTCTTAGCCTGGGGATCGGGTCTGGGGATCCCATAAGTAGTTAAGAAGCATTTATATTGTTGTGCTTGTTACCCCTTTTGGCTCAGGTAGCCTTTTGGTCAGTTCTCTAATTCTCAGGGTATATCAGCACACCCAGGTATTTCTAGGTGAAAGACTCCACTTAGAAAGTGATGATGAACAGTGTTCCCTCTAAGCTGAGTTGGTGTGAGCCAGCTCACAGTTTTTTACCCTCTGGCTCACACATTTTTGTCTTAGCTCAGGAAGGATGGGGCTCCAGAGCAAACGTAATTTATGCAGTAGCCAGATTGCTCACTCGCATCTTTAATGCCAGTGGCTCACAAAGTAGAATACTTGCTCACAGGACTCCACCGCTTAGAGGGAACTTTGATGATGAATGCTCATGGACCATTTCCAGTCACCTGCAAGAAGTGTGCCATGTTTGTCTTCCTCTCTGAAGACAAGACAGACTACACTTGTCAGAAGTGCAAGTTGATAGGACTCTTAGAGGAGAAGGTTTGGAGCCTGGAGGAAAGGATTACTACTCTCCATGAGATTAAGGAAGGGGAGGACTTCATTAATAGCCTTGATTTCCTGCATAGGGAAGAAGAGACCAGTCAAAGGGACAACAGCACTCGGTGCCATTAGAACTAAGAAATCGATTCCAGGCCCTTGCAGTGGAGGCAGAGATGGAAACACTGTCAGCGGAAGTATCACAGACACAAGGGAGACAGAGGGAGGAGGCCAGGGAGAGACGAAGAAATGGCACTGGAAAGAAAAGGAAGGTGTTGGTCATAGGTGACTCCTTGCTGAAGGATATGGAACATCATGTGTCCAGGCCTGATTGCTTGCCAGGGCCAAAAATTAAAGATATTATAGAAAGGATCCCTAAACTCATCAAACCTACAGAGTATTACCCATTTGTGATGGTCCACGTAGGAACCAATGACACGACTGTGAACCACATCGAAAGCATTAAGGGTGACTATGAAGCTCTTGGGAGGAAGCTGAAGGGAATGGGAGCACAGGTGGTGTTCTCTTCGATCTTTCCTGTCATTGGAAGGGGGATATGATGATGATGGAGGTGAAACACTGGCTGTGTTGGTGGTGCCGGCAGGAGCGATTTGGATTCTGGGGCCATGGGCTAGATTTACTGGACAACAACCTACTAGCACACAATGGACTTCACCTGTCAAGGTCGGGGAAGAATGTGTTTGGCAGAAACCTGGCGAGATTCATCAAGAGGGCTATAAACTGACACCAGGAGGGGAAGGAGATGACCAACATAGGGATTTAAATGAAGGAGAACAAACAACAGAGGCCCACCTGCGAGGGCCGGGTCTAATGGAGCCAAAGGCTTCAGGTGTCTACATACTGATGCCCAAAGCTTGGCCAATAAGGAGGAAGAGCTTGAGCTTCTAATGAAGACGGAGGGATCTGATTTAGTCGACATGGCGGAGACTTGGTGGGATGATTCCCAGGACTGGAAATGGGATAGTGGACGAATACGTCAAGAGAAACCGGAAGGGTCGATCCTAAAGGAATTAAAAGATGCTTTTTTAAAATACTATGCAAAATTATTTCAAGGAAAGAAGTCTGATTTGGTAAAAGTAAATAAATATTTCGAACACACAGCACTGCCAAAGATACAAGGAGAATACAAAGGTCTACTGAATGGTCGTATCCAAAAGGAAGAACTGGGCAAAGCAATCCAAGACACAAAATTGGGAAAAGCGCCAGGACCGGATGGATTTACCGCAAAATTCTATAAAAAACTGAAAGAAGCGTTAATTCCGGTCCTGGAAATGCTAACAAATGATATTAGGGATACGAAAGTTATACCTGAATCTTGGAAGGACGCTATTATATCGTTAATACCCAAAGAAGGCCAGGATCTAACCAATGTAAAGAATTATAGACCAATATCGCTTTTGAACAATGATTACAAAATATTTGCGAAAGTGATAGCGGAAGAGAAACCTTTGCTCCCTACAACTTCTATCTAGGCATTAGTCAAAGTCTTCGTGGAGGAAATGAAAAGGAACCAGGTACTGAGAGAGAGAGAGAGGGAAGAGCTCCAGGGAAGAGCTTATGTGATTGGCTGCTCTACTTGCTCTCTGATTGGCAAGTAGAGCAGCCAATCACCTCAGCTCTTCTCTCCAGGGTAGATTAACTCATAACCTCCCTGCCTCTCTGTCCCAGGCAGCATTTTAAAACCAGTTTTGTCTTTGCAATCCATCACAGAGCCCCTGGCACATGCACACAGGAAGGACACACTCCGGTGTGCAGAAAGGCCGTTGCATGCCTGCCAGCAGTCCCAGACATTGTT